GGTGTTGGATGCATGTGACAACTTCCGGATGCCAAGCAACAGGAAATAGTCACACCGAGTAATCTTGAAAAGGCAATACCTGCTGAAATAAACCATGTTGTATTTGTTTTACTATACTCTATAAATATTTGGTGAATGTGTAGTTAACACGTCCAGAAATCACAGGAAAATATGCATTGTTCTGGATCACCCTATGAATTTCCAAGTAATAAGTTATATGAATACAGTGGTGCAATAGTGGGGGGTGGTGTGTGTGTGGTAGTTTTGCGATTTGTTCCCTGCAAGAGCGTGACACACACTTGGCAGAAGTTTGCAAAATACTGTCACGCGCATCAGGTTGAACTGAACAATTGTACTTAGTGTTTTCCTAATATTCATGAAGTATATGAATAGACATCGCTATGGGCTCTTATTTAGAAAGTGCTCATTGACACAGGAATAGTCCATGAATTCAGGCTCAGCGAGTGGCCCTAGATTAGACCCAGTAAGGAGCATTACTTGACCACAATTACTCTGTGTCAGACCCATGCTTTTTAAGTAGTTTGAAATCAATAAGGAGTGCTCCCATTATGAATGGCTTTTTTTTAATGAGACCTGATTTTTAAGTATACAGGAATTTTTAAGGGCCCTAAAAGAATACATGAGTTGATGCACTGAGAAGTTATGGCATGATGAAGTAAAGTAAATAGTCATAATGATTGTTAATGGCTCTGTTTTCTGTCATTCTATCCAATTTAGTTTGAGTGTAGAGGTGGTGGTTTGATATTATATGGTTGAGAATAAATTCGATACACTGTCACTTACCTTCATTGCATGTTCTGAGAGGAAGAGTTTGGAAAAGGATGCAGAGGTGAATGGAGTGTTTGTTATATTAGCTTCTTTAGATGTAATGCGGCATTGTATCACTCGCTTTGCTATGTCCTGGGTGACGGTAGCTGGACAGTGAGTGTTGATGTTATGTTGGCTGTCACAAAAGTCTGCTCCACAACCGATGATAACATTAGCTTTTGGTGACAGTGAGTGTGGCTTGGTTGATGTAAAGAGGTCTTGGGATGAGTTTATCTGAGTACTCTGCGACAAATGGTCTTGTGATGTGGTAGATAACTGTAGGTATTATAGGCAGAAGTGGTTGGTCAAGCTTTAGGATGGGAATATGGTTCAGCATGGTGTTGTATTCAGCCTCAAATAACCCAACAGTTGCTCCAATCCAAGTATAGTTCTGGATTTTGAAGAGTTGTCTTGTGTCCATAGGTGTTTCGGTGAGGAGATAGAAGAGGTCACCTTCGGTGAGTTCTCTGAAAGATTGATACCAAAATGTTTAGGTAATGCGTGAAAGTTATAGTGCTTGAAAACTGTGACTACGTAATGTTTAGAATGTTGGTAATATTTGAGATGGAGAAGCATAGTAGAGGTGTCTTGTTGCAATAGACCTCACAATTCTGGTTGATTAAGTATTGTTTTGAGGGCAAGTCTGCTGACTGACTTAAAGTTATGATTACAATTGTTTGCAAGTTTGTTATGTTTTTACCTGAGGAGAACAAGCCGGTCATACTGTTTTTCTAGTTTGGAAAATTTGTTGCCATCTTTTTGGAACTTCTTGGGCTTGGGTTTCTTCACTGAGAGAACTTGGGCTGTCAATGTTGTATTCTCTGATGTGGTGGTCAAGATTTCTGATAATGTCACATTAGTCACCGTGGGATGATTAAATATTGCCATGGCTGCATCAAGGTCCCCTGATTCAAGGTATTGTGCTAGCATGGTGATATCTGGAATAGAATGAAATCTATATAAAACATCTTTCTGATTTGAAGATTTGGGGGTATGAGTTATAGGTTAATGCTAGTGTTGGAGAATAATTAAAACATGAAAGTGTTAGCTAAATCAACAGGTGCAATTACTTTAGCTAGAGGGAGTGTTTGTTGAAGGCATGCTGAATGGATTTCAATGTACTGGTACATGTCTTGAACTGTTTTGATGTTCCACTTACTTTTGTGTTATGGTCCTGTGCTTGGAGGATGAGTGTTGTTGAAGGATTCTGGTGGTGAGAGGAAGCATTACCCATACGGGGAATGCATCCTCTCACCTACTAATTTTGATGTTGGAAGGAAATGTTGGGATAATGTCTGTACTTATATTTGCTGGAGGTGTTCATGGGTGGAAGTGTCCAAAGTCCTCCCAAATTAGATTAGGGTAGTGTTGACGTATGCGATCGAAGACAATTAGGCCATTCGTGTAGATGGTGCGAGTGTTTGGAAGGTGATCTTGAGCATTGAGTGTGTGCCACTGATATTCAAAGCTCTTCCTGGCAGTGATGTTTGCCTGATGGTCACCATTTTCAGGGAATCGGTACACTAGCACAAAGCACACCCAAGGGCGAAGTTGTGGGTTGTTCGTAAAATTGGAACCATGACCAGTGTTGTGTTGTTGGAGTCTGCGTTGGATACAAGCTGTTTCACCAACATAGGCAAAGTTGCGATGGTTGTTGCTCACCAACATGTAAACAAAGCCAATGCTGCTGTCAGGTAACTGTTGCATTCGAATTGTAGGGGGATAGGGGTCATGAGTATGTTGAATTGTGGCTGATGGTGTTGTATTGTCCAGTGCCGAGAGAATGTTTTTGATGTGGTGTAACCATTGTGGAGTACTTTGGAGCAGTTTCCTTATGCCCATGATAGTGTCATTGCGATCATGCGTCACAAATATTATGTTCTCCAATTTTTTCACTCGACTGATGAGGACCAATAACTGGTCTCTTTCCCAAAGTCTGTACTTGCGTTGTTGACTTGAAATCTGAGTAGCAATTTGTGGACATGTCTCCCCAAGTGCCTTGTGAACCGTGCTACAAATATAGTAGGTTACACGAAATTGGATGCGGCGTGCTTTAGTATGACCCTTCCCAACAATGACTAAGGGTGCCTGAGTTGGTGAAAGGGAGAATAACGACCAGGGATGGTTATTTTGCATGTGTTCTTGAATTTGCCTTACTCCCGGTGGGACAAGCATCAAACGCAATAGTTCAGTTTCACTTGGCAAGTCTATGATAATACAGAGTTGACCTTGAGAGAAACGAGGTACTTCATTTGTTGCAACAGTATTGTTGTATGTCAGTCGAAGTACCTGTCCCTTAAATAGTACCAACCTCTTAGGCTCCAGACAGGCTTTGTCAAGCTGGAATTGAACATTGGCATTGGCCTGGCCCCATACCCCTTGAGTAGTCTCAACCTCATCAGTAGCAAGGAATGTTTTGCATTGTACAGTTGGGTCAGATTGTTTTTGTGCGATGTACTGCTAATTATTTCTTGGCAAGCAGCCTTAGTACCCACGATTTTTAAGGCATGTTGTGGTACATCATCCCATGATGTTACAGCATGAGGCAGGCATCGATTTGCAATGATGTGTATGAAATTCTCAATGTCCTGATTCGTGATGTTGACATTGCGCAGTATCTGTATAAGTTGCTGTAGGTCGGCATCTTGGCATGCTCTGACATAGTGGCTCATTGTAATAATGTGGAAAGAGGTCATGAGATGATGACTGGCCCAAAAGGGTGTGCCATCAACTGGAGCCAACTGGTATGGATCTCCAGTGGCTATGACCAAAATGCCTCCCATTGGCTGGTTGGAGCCTCTAACATATCGGAGGATGTTGTCAAGAGCAGCAAAAA